TTCTCTTCCCTCTCTTTGAGTAATTTTATTTACGCCATAATTTCAGCTACCATTTATATCCTAGAATTCTTCTATCTATATTTAATAGTCCAGAATACTTTTTCATGCAAGACCAATCTACTTAATTACCTTCTGAATATTGCACTTGGTTTCTCTCTCTCTTCCTTCTCACCAACTAGGCGATGAGTTGTATCAATTTTACTTGACTCTTTTATACATTTAATTTCATTAAATTTACTGCTACTACCAAGTCATTTAAAGAAACAAATGTAATTAAATACTCCCATGTTTTAAATCATTTAATGAAGTTTGGTTTAAATGCAGATTCCTTAACATGACACACAAAGTACTTCAGGATTTAAAGGCATCTATCTCTAGAGCCTCCCCCCCGCCCCCAAGTGTTTTCAGAGGCACATTTATTCTGAGGAAAATTTTGCAACATGGAGTGTGGAAAATAGGGAGCACAGGGTTTATCAAGTTCAAATACATTTTAGAAACTAATGCTCTAGTATTAGCTCTCAGAGCAGTTGTTCTCAATCTAGGCCCTGAATCAGCAGCAACGGAATTACTTGAGACTTCATTATATGTGCATATTCTCAAGCCTCACCTTAGACCTACTGCATCAGGAACTCTGTGGGAAGGGCTTAGCAATCTGTATTTTAGCAAGCCTTCCCAGCAATGCTGATACCTATGCTCTCCATGACAGGGTGGATCAGTTGGTTGGAATGTCATCTCATACACCAAAAGGTTGTGAGTTTGATTCCCAGTCAGGGCACATACCAAGGTTCTGAGTTTGATACCTGGTCAGGAAACATTTGGGAGGCAACTGATCAATTCTTCAATTCTCTCTCTCTCTCTCTCTCTCTCTCTCTCTCTCTCTCTCTCTCTCTCTCTCTCTCTCTCCTCTCCCTTCCTCTCTCTAAAATCAATGAAAATAGCCCTGCTGCATGGCTCAGTTGTTGAGCATGGACCTGTGAACCAGGAGGTCATTGTTCGATTCCCAGTCAGGGCACATGCCCCAGTTGCAGTCTCAATCCCTGGTGTGGGGAGTGCAGGAGTCAGCAACCAATGATTCTCTCTCATCATTGATGTTTCTATCTCTTTTTCCTTCTCCCTTCCTCTCTGAAATCAATAAAAATATATTTAAAAGAATAAAATCAATGAAAATATATCTTAGGGTGAGGATTAAAAAATTACATACGCCCATAGAACAAATAGATAGAATGTCACAGAAATATAGCAATCTTAGAAGTGTTGCATAAGTCTTACTATCATGAAGATATCATCTATTATTTCAACACTTTTGTTTTTTGCACATAACCGTTCTTGCTATATGTTGATCTTTTCTTGGAGCATCTTCATATTTTCTTATTTGAAATTATGAAGGTATAGTATACATCTTACCAGCTTGTCTGTACAAGCTGTTTTGGTACTAAATTATCCTTTTTAAACATGACTATTGAATACTTTATTCAGTTGACCCTAGCAACTTTGCACTTTCAAAAATTCCTCTCCTCATTACACTGTCACAGATTTTCTTTCAAGTTTCTTTCCTCAATAGTCTATTAACAAAATATATTTTAGTTGCTGTAATAATGATGACCAAAATTAAAATTGAAGTACTAATTCATAGTTTTATATTTATTGTACTTTGTTTGTTGTTATTGAGTTTATAATTATAATACTTGAATATCATGTAAATATATTATAAACTATATTATTATAATAAGTACTAATTTTTATAAGTTTCAATAAATATTAATGTACTTATTATCTTTTTAAAATGTTTACTATCATTATTTTAATTTTTCCAATCCTAAGTCAAATGCCCTAGTAGACCTCAAGGAGAATAATAAAGTCTTACTTAGAAAATGTAATCCTTAATATATCAGGTGTATATTCTAATATACCTCATTGTACTCCATTATTTAATTTTTTATTTACTTTTTTAAATACTATTTTTAAATATGTTTTTAAATGATTTGAGAGAGAGAGAGAGAGAGAGAGAGAGAGAGAGAGGGAGAGAGAGCACATCAATGTGAGAGAGAAACTTTAATCAGTTGCCTCCCTTACACACCCTGACCGCAATTGAACAGCAACTCAGGTATGTACACTGATTGGGAATCAAACCAAGGACCTTTTAGTGCATGGGAGAATGCTCAACCAACTAAGCCCCACTGGCCAGGCCTGTACCCCATTATTTTAAACATATTATATTAAGATGCACTAGTCCTTCTGGCCAGTGGGTCTCAGTTGGTTGAGTATCGCCCCATGCAGCCACATGTTACTTATTCAATTCCCAGTCAGGGCTGGGGTTATGGGCTGGGTTCCTGATAGGTGGTGTGCTGGAGGCAGTGAATCAATATTTTGCTCTCACATAGATGTTTCTCTTTTTCTCTCTCTCTAAAATTCAATTTAAAATCTTTAAAAACAATGCACTAGCCCTAACTGGTTTGGCTCAGTGGATAGAGCATCGGCCTGTAGACTGAAGGGTCCCAGGTTCGATTCCGGCCAAGGGCATGTACCTTGGTTGCGGGCACATCCCCAGTAAGGGGTGTGCAGGAGGCAGCTGATCGATGTTTCTCTCTCATCAATGTTTCTAACTCTCTATCCCTCTCCCTTCCTCTCTGTAAAAAACTCAATAAAATATATATTTTAAAAACAATGCACTAATAAAATAGGGAAAACCTGATTTATGATATTGCTCTGTGGTATGTAAAAACTTAATGATTCAGCATTCCATTTGGTTTATTTTGGTGCAACATACAGAATATGATGCAAAACATTGTACTATCAAAAATCTTCTAATGTCACAAAAAAGAGTAACGGGAGTATAGTTTGTGACTTTAGAATTAATGCATATTCAACTATGTACTTTAGTCTCTCCTCCTTTCCATATCATACTCTGCAGAATGATGATAAGTGACTGTGATGTTAAATGTGTCATCTATAGTCATTTCCTCTCATTTAATTATATTACTTGACATAAGTTAGACATACAGTTTGGCTATGTGCTCATCATGATGATGAATGATAATATTCTAATATAGTCTACCATGGCCATCAGAACTAATTTTATTTACAACCTTCACAACTCACCAGTCTCTCTGATTTCTAACTACATCATAGAGAGGGAAATCTATTGATCTTAATGTAATGAGTAAATAATTACATTATTGTGACAACAATAAAGTCCTGTTCACAAAAGAAAGAGAAATTTTAATAGAAAATGTAATTTAAAAGTAGGCAAGGCTTGCTCAGCTGGTGTGGCTCAGTGGTTGTCCGTAGACCCATGCAACATGAGGTTACCAGTTTGATTCCTGGTCAGGACACATGCCTGGGTTGCGGGCTTGATCCCCAGTAGGGAGCATGCAAGAGGCAGCTGATTGATGATTCTCTCTCATCATTGAGGTTTCTCTCTCTCTCTCTCTCTTCTTCTCCCTTCCTCTCTGAAATCAATTAAAAAAGAAACATATAAAAATTTAAAGTAGGCAAGGCTGAATATTTGTAAGCCTGCATTGCTGCTTTTATCTTCTAAAAGATCTACTGATGTGCCTTGATGTACCTCAGGAATTGAAAAGGGAAGCCTGCCAAGGACTTTCAAGTGGTTCGCAGGGACCAGACATACAAGGTTCTTAAGATCCTTTGAACGCTGCTTATTGTTCACTCTGGCAATTTGAAGTAATTTGTGCCAGCCACTAATTTCTTGACTATTTTAATTTTGCTTTCCAACTTTTAATATCTGTTGCATTTTGAGCACAAAGGTTAATCAACAGCACTTGAAGGCACCCTAGAAAATTATGTGTCCCTAAAGGTACATTATAGTCTGTGTGTGGAGGTCTGTAATAGTTAGTGGATTCCACATAGGGCTGTATTTTAACTTAAGTGAGAATAATAATTGGGTGATGACTCACCCAAATCTGGTTACATGTCTTTGGCAGCATTAGAAGATCTACATTCAACCATTCAGCAGAGAGTAGCTGATTTTCTGATAAGACTTGGTAGTTAAATATGACAATTGGTTGGGCCAAACATAATCTAACATACCTTTTATAACAGGGATCCCATGAAATTTCTGAGCCACAAATTAAAGTTTTCAGATATTCTGGACCTAGAAACTTGTAAATAATTTAGCAAAAAACAGTAAACGAAGCCATCTTTCCTTGATCAGTTTTTTTGCCTAATTTTAAAAAGTAAATGTAAAAGTGCTCTAAGAAGGTTATCCACCAAACAAAATAACTAGCATAATTTTTCAGTATGTTTGAAAGAATTACATGCATTGAATATGAAGTTTATATGTGAAACTTTCAGGATTATTATTGTACTTCATTAATCTCAATGTAAATTTAGACCATCCTGGGATACACTCTTCTTTCTAGAGGTGAGAGTTGGAGATTCATTCAGTATGGTAAATCAAGGATTCAAATATCACACACACACAGTCTTCCAAAGTTTTAGTTAACTAGATACATTTGTAAGTGGAATAAGAGAGTTATGGGCCATGCATGTAACGTGTATATATTATAGAATCTAATAGTACTGATTTTGTTACCAGGTAGCCTTGCGTTCTGCCCACTTGCTACCAACTTGACTTTGAACAAAATATTTTGGCAGGATAAATTTTCACACACAGCCATAACACACACACACACACACACACACACACACACACACACACCTTTGTATACAAAGAATTCAACCTTCCTCCGTGGGTGAAGCCCCATAAAAAGGATAATTTCCACAATAATAATTCTTAAGATTATAGTCAGAAGAAGAGAAACAATTACTCCAGAACCAAAGCATTTAGAAATAAAGCCTGGCCACTATCTTATGGGGTCCTATTTAATGTAGAAAGGAAATCTGAATTTTGTAGTTTTGCCTCACATGATCTAAGAATTTTTTCACCACATTTTTCTCTGATCCTCCTGTTTGACAGTGACGTCTAACTAAAGTCACACCATTTAACCTTTTTTTTTTCATGTTATGTGACCCGTGAGCAGAGTAAGAAACAGGACATTCCTCGGGAAGAGCAGGGACCAACCACCAAGAATTTGGATTTTTGGCCCCAACTTATTACCCTGATGGTCACTATTATTGATGAGGATAAAACTGCCTACACACCTGTCCTGAATCAGTAAGTACACTGTTTTACAAATGAATTGATTTTATTCAACTAAAGTTAAAATAAGTATTTGAAATACAGTTTATAATCTCATGACAATGACAGTGGTACACAGAAGGACATATCTTTGTTTTGCTTTCTAATGTTCTTTTTATTTTTGTGTATTTTTAAAAATATATTTTATTGGTTTTTCACAGAGAGGAAGAAAGAGGGATAGAGAGTTAGAAACATTGATGAGAGAGAAAGATCCATCAGCTGCCTCCTGCACGCCCCCCACTGGGGATGTGCCCGCAACCAAGGTACATGCCCTTGACCGGAATCGAACCTTGGACCCTTCAGTCCCCAGGGCGATGCTCTATCCACTGAGCCAAACCGGTTTGGCTCTATTGTTCTTTTTAATGTCAGGTTTAGAGTTACATTTCTTTCTGTGAAACCTAGTCCTAAAAAACCAAATGTCTTTCCTCTAATTGGAATCTATATTTTATACTGAAGAATGTCTATCACCCACTGAGTTTCCATGTGTCTTGCATAACCCATACCAGTTAACCACTGGTCTGCTTTCTGATACTATAAACTAGTTTAGAGATTTTATTCATTTTAGCAAAGGAATCATAAATTGCATATATTATTTTGTCTGATTTTTTCACCCATATTTTGAGATCCATCCAGATCATATTGTCAATACTTCGTCTTCTTTTATTTCTGAGTAATATTCCACTACGTAGATATACCACAAAATGTGTGTCCATTCAAATATTAGGGTTAAGTTTAGGATTAGTGACACCATTGTTTGTTTTTTAGATTAGGTTGCTTTGAATATTTGTTTGTAAATTTTTGCATAGATACACTATTTCATTTCATGTTGTAGGGTACATTTTTGATATTTCTTTAAACTGCCAACATGCTTTACAAAGTGGCTATACATTGCCAACCCTTGGTATAATTGGACTTTAATTGTAGTTATTCAAATAGTGTACATTGGTAGCTCACTGTGGTTTTAATTTGTGCTTTTCTTTGTGTTTGTTTTTTGTATATGCTGTGATATAGAGTTTAAGATTCTTTGGGATTTTTTAATATGTTTATCTAATATCTTAAACTCTGCTTGTTAGAAAAATTATCCTTCCCCCTTTGAATTACTTTGGCAACTTTGTAAAATAATCAATTTAAGTATATGTGTGTCTATTTCTGTACTCGGTTCCATTGATCTATTGATTCATACATTGGTAAAGTAGTGATAAATGTCTTCGGCTTTAGTTTGGAAAACTATCGCTCCCTCAATTACAAAAAAAAATTTTGCTAAATAGAATATTCTTGTTTGACAGGTATGTTTTTCAGCACTTTTAATATATCATCTCACTCCCCTCTTACCTGCAAAATTTTTGCTGAAAATCCACTGATAGCCTTATGGGGATTTCCTTGTATGTAACAAGTTGTTTTTCTCTTGCTGCTTGTAAAAGTCTCTCTTTGTCTTTTATATATTCTTTGTTGAAATTCTCACTGTGTTCATGCATTGATTTCCTGACATCAGTGAGCATTTTTATGACCATTATTTCAAACTTCCTATCAGGCAAATCACTTACGTTCATTTCAATAAGATTGATTTCTGGTAATTTATCTTGTTCTTTTGTCTTAGGTATCCCCTTGCATCTTCACTTTTCTTGACTATGTGTCAGTTTCTGAACTTTAGATAAAATTGCCTATGAAGCAGCCATCTTATATAAACACTGCTGTTTGAAATTCTAACCCTGCTATTTTGGCTTCTGTAAACATTTGCTGGCTTAAATAATAAGGAAAATAAGACTACTCCCATTCCAGAGAGGCCATTAACCTTCCCCAGATGAAGTTATCAGTGCTGGTGCCAGGCCAGGCCTTTGGTTGAAGTCTCAAAACCCCAGCACATAGGGCTCTTTAAGAACTTGCAAAGGGGACCGGAAAAAACCCTTATTTGGAGACAAAGAGCTGGAAAAAGTATAAATAGGAAAGGTTCCTCCATGTTTTTTGCCCAGAATTTGAAAAACATTTTTCTCTGGGCCCGCATGTAATAATAATAATAAAGTGTAACTCCATTTCTCTGAGCATTGCTTGGTTTTCTCCGGTCTTCTGTAACACCTAGACTTCACAGAGTGGTCTTCTCAATCAGTGCAGCCCGAGCTTGGGTTGTCTCTCAAACCTTTATGACAGTCCAAGCTTCTGTCTTTGTTCTTAGTGGCTCCCACAGCTGAGGGTGTACCCAGGCCTGTCACTGTCCCGAAGGGGAGGAATGCAGCCAGCCCGGATGCAGGCTAATTAGAAGCCAGACCCTGGGGCAACAGCTGGGAAAGAATATAATTAAGCTCCTTCCAGGGAGAAACTGGAAGATGGGCACTTTTTCCTGCTCTGTTCTACACTGAGCCCAGGAATATAGCCACAGGGGTAGGAGGTGGGGAAGAGGATACACCTGCACCTATTGCAAAGCTGCTTATTTGTTTGCTCTAGTCCTGTGGGACTTGTGAATGCAAGCCCTATTAGTATCAGAGCTAGGTGATTTGAGGACCTGTCTCTCTGGTGGTAGCCAGAAAAGTTGGGGCACTCTCCTTTTAGGAGATGCTGGCATTGTAATTTTGTTGTTGGAACAAGCTAAAGGGAGAACACAGGACAAGTGCCCATCGGCATTCCTGTGCTCTGGGGAGGATCTCAGCCATCCCCTAGATCCATGGTCGGCAAACTGCGGCTCTCGAGCCACATGCGGCTCTTTGGCCCCTTGAGTGTGGCTCTTCCTAAGCCTTAGGAGTACCCTAATTAAGTTAATAACAGTGTACCTACCTATATAGTTGAAGTTTAAAAAATTTGGCTCTCAAAAGAAATTTCAATCGTTGTACTGTTGATATTTGGCTCTGTTGACTAATGAGTGCCGACCACTGCCCTAGATCAGTGGTTCTCAACCTTCCCAATGCCGTGACCCTTTAATACAGTTCTTCATGTTGTGGTGACCCCCAACCATAAAATTATTTTCGTTGCTACTGTTATGAATCGTAATGTAAATATCTGATATGCTATATGTGTTTTCTGATGGTCGCGACCCACAGGTTGAGAACCACTGTGCCTAGATGCATGTTAAGTTAGCACCCAAGCCCCCAGGCATCAGCTTGAAAAGTATGCAGTCCAGCCCCTTCCAGGGAAAGACTGGGAGATGGACATTTTTGCCTGTTCTTTCTGGATTAAGCCTCCAGGGGACAGCTGCAGGAAGTACTCATGCACACATTGATAACAGCTTCTTTATTTGCTGTGGTCCTATGAGTCTTATGTACACAAGCACTGAGTCCATCCCTCAGATGGGAGTCTTAAAAGCTGAGGTACTAAGTATGCAGTCCAAACCCTTCAGTACTCGGGGAAGCTGGAAGCTGGGGAATCCCTCCTAGCTGTATGGCACTGTGTGGGGAGGGGGTGGGTGGGAGGGATTAATAGCAAGACTGTGTCTCAGCCTTATGTCATTTTGTCGTAGGAATTTTTTCATTTACCTGATATGTAGGAGTCACTCAGCTAGTGTCTCAATTTTTCTCAGAGGAATTGCTCCATGTATAGTCATATGTTTAGTACATTCCTGGTGAGGGAAGTTCAGGAGCTTCCTTTTCACCATTTTGGTTTTCCCAAACCTACTTGTTCTTAAGTTTTTGTAGTTTGTGTCTTTAAAAAAATTTTTTTATTTAATCTAAGTGGTCAAATTTACTATCATATGATTACTCAGGACATTTTGTATTATTCTTTTAATGTCTATAAAATCTGAATAATTTCCCCTTCCTCATCTTGTTACAGAATTTACCAGGGGACCGTTATATACACAGGAGTACTTGGAGACACAGGAAAAACCCATTTATTTTCAGATGTTTCGCATGTACTAGTACAATGACTCAAGGGAGACTGTTTCTCTCCAAATCCTGAGCAAACCAATATGGAGGAAGCTCTCCCTTTACACTTTTTGGTTTCTTTGTCCCCCAAATAAGGATCAGACTTCCAGACCTTTTGCGGGCTTTGCAAGAAGCCCCATGTGTTAGGATGGGGGCCGTAAGACCACACCTAAAGGTCTGGCCTGTCACCAGCACTGATAACCCACTCTGGGGATTGTGTATTGTTCATGGTTTATGGCCTCTGTAAAATGGGAGTACTTAGATAAACAGGTCTTGTAAGACCAGATAATGGGGGAAGGGGCAGTGACTAGACTATAGGCTAACAGGAATGTGCATTACATTACTGGCACAGATTCAGATTACTAGCCCCTCCCCCCCAAATGTCTTATTTTTCTCATCATTCCCCCCTCATTGATCCTCATTATTAATATTTTACATAGCCTCTCATTTTTTCCTGTCCAACTGGCTAGACATTTATTAATCTTCTGAAAATGAAACATTTTGACTAATTAAAACTCTATTGTTTTTGTTTTAAAGTAAACCAGTTTCTTTTCTCTTCTTTATTATTACTAGAGGCCCAGTGCACAAAAATTTGTGCACTCAGGGAGGTCCCTCAGCCCGGCCTGTGCCCTCTCACAGTCTGGGACCCCTCGGGGGGATGTCCACCTGCTGGCTTAGGCCTGCTCCTCAGGGGATCGGGCCCAAGCTGGCAGTCAGACATCCCTCTGGCAGCCTGAGAGCTCTCGGGGGAGGTCCACTTGCCAGCGGGGAGCAGGCCTAAGCTGCAGTTGGACATCCTTAGCGCTGCCTAGGAGGCGGGAGAGGCTCCCGCGACCACCGCTCTGCTGGCAGCCATCAGCCTGGCTTGTGGCTGAGCAGAGCTCCCCCTGTGGGAGCACACTGACCACCAGGGGGCAGCTCCTGCATTGAGCATCTGCCCCCTAGTGGTCAGTGTGTGTCATAGTGACCAGTCATTCCCAGTCCTTCTGCTGTTAGGGTCAATTTGCATATTACCCTTTTATTATATAGTATTATTATTATTATTATTATTATTATTTGTAAATGGAGATAACTGGTAAAAGGATACAGCAGTAATCAAGTGAGAAGATTTAAGGGCTTTGTATAAGA